GGAGCCAGCAATCCAGGATTGTGAGAGGGATGTCTGAGGGGTTCCAGATTGGAGAGGGTGCAGGCTGGGCTGAGGGGACCCCCTCACACACACACCCCATACACAAATTTTGTGCACTGGGCCTCTAGTCTGTTATTAAATAAATTTTAAAAAATGAATTTTAGAGACCAGCCTTCCATTTTCCGGGGTATATGGGATCTGACCAGGAAAGCGGGGCATCTTTGTCACAGCCCTGGGGCAGCATGGAAGGCCACCTGTGCACAGACTTCCCTTCATACACAGAAAAGCACAGCAACTGTGACAAGGCAAGAGGGTGTGTGGGTGGAGGGGAGGAGGGTCTTCAATCCCAATATTACTGTTCTGTTGTTGCTGTAATACTCAACACAAATTCAGTAGCTTAAATCAACACGAATGCCTTATCTCACCGTTCTGTTGGTCAGAGGTCTGACCCGGTTTCACTGGGCCAGTGGTCGGCAAACTCATTAGCAACAGAGCCAAATATCAACAGTACAACGATTGAAACTTCTTTTGAGAGCCAAAATTTTTAAACTTAAACTTCTTTTAATGCCACTTCTTCAAAATAGACTCGCCCAGGTTGTGGTATTTTGTGGAAGAGCCACACTTAAGGGGCCAAAGAGCCTCATGTGGCTCGAGAGCCGCAGTTTGCCAACCATGGCCCTGGGTTAACATTTCTTTCTGGAGACTTACCTTTTCCAGTTTGGAGACGGCCCTCATTCCTTAGCTCAGGACCATTTTCTGCATCTTTAAAGCTAGTTCCTCTCTGAGGTCTTTCCACCATCACATTTCTCCCTGACGGACGCAGGCAGAAAACGTTCTCCTCTTAAAGGGATCCCTGTGATTAGATTGGGCGCACCGGGGCAAGCCAGTCTCCTCTCACATTCTTCACTTGAATCACATACATACGCAAACTCCCTGCGGCCGCTCAAGGTACCACATACTAAATTCCTAAATTCTGAGGATTAGAGTGTGAACATCTTTGGTGGCATTATTCTGCCAAACACAATCCCCATTCCAATTACAATAGGTGTAAACTGGTTTGGGAACAAACACAATTGACTCTTGGTAAAACGTACAACTAACATAGGGGAAGCTGCAACGTGTAGGTGCACTAGCGACCTGGCCTAACTAGCCGACGTGCTGTGACTGCTCAGCACCCACTGTGCAGCTGTCTGTTTTACAGAGTGATTGGACAGAGTTGGTTAAGCTGGCGCAGCGTTAAACAGGAGTCAGTATGGGATAGGAAGGAACAGGAATAAGCAGATTTTTAAACATTTGAACTTGGTTCAGTAGTTCTCCTCTGCGAGGATGTTTTGTTCCCCTCTCCTTAGCCAGAGATTTTAACATTTTCTGAGTTCCAAATGACGTATGTGTGTGTGTGTATGGTCTCACTTGTAGTTTGGTTGTAATTTGGTTTCACACTCAGACTGGAAGCTCCTTGAGGACAGGCCTTGCGTCTGATTTACTGTTGCACCCCACGATCTGGCTCAGTGTCTGATACCGAGTGAGGGCATGCAAAGATTTAAAGGGATAAATGAGGAATACCCACCTTCCACATCCCCTTCTTCCAGGAGTAGCTATTCAGGGGGATTGACACCCTTGGTGGTGCCACCCAGGTCTTACACAGTCCTCCAAAGGACTAAACGCATTGTGGACCAGTAGTTTTATTGCTAGCTCTACCCAGTGGCCAGATAAGTTTCCATTGAACAAGTACAAAAACTGTTTTTCATAAATGTTAAAGGCACACTTTAAAATGAAATACCCATTGCATTTTGAAGTTATTTATTCCATGTTTTTATAAGCTAATATATTCTTGATGTTTGATATTTTGTAAAACACTGTGTAATATGAAGCGAGAATTCTCGTGATCCATCCAAAATGTGTTAAGTGCCTTATGGGAGGCTAGAAATGGTGCCTGGCAGTGAAGGTTTAAATTAGAAACACTCCCATATGTTGGCCAATGTGAATAATGCTGAAATGAACATAGCGGTGCATATATCTTTGGGAATACATGATTTCAAGTTTTTCAAGTATATAGCTCCAGGAGAGGGGTTGCTGGGAGAACTGGATAAAGATGTGATTCCTTACACATTGGGATACTACTCAGCCATAAGAGAGGATGAAAGAGCACCATCTGCAACATGGATGGACCTGGAGAATGTTATGCCAAGTGAAATAAGTCAGAGAAAGCACAGAACCATTCGGCTCCACCCATATGTGGGTATAAAATTGGAAGTCGTGAACACAAACAGCAATGTGGTGGTAGCCAGGGAAGAGTGGAGAGAGAAGGGGGGGGGGGGGGGGAGGAGGCCCTAATATATAGTGAGATTTGACTTTGGGTGGTGGGCACGTAGTGCAATGTACAGATCTTGTAGCTGCAACGTGTAGAAACCCACACCTGAAACCTCTATGTTCATGTGACCAATGTCACCCCAATAAATAAATTCCAACAAGCTTGTTGATGGGGAAAGGGCTGTCTCCCAGATCACTTCTGCAGGAGATTGTAGGGTTTGATTGCCCCGGCTGGTTCTCATTTTCTCTTTGATTGGTTTAAAAGCAGGTTCACATGGATGGGTGCAGCAGGAACCACGAGAGCTAATTCCCCTGGAGACAGCAGCAAGATTACTGTGTGGTGAGGCAGTTGTGCAATTCTCTTAAGACAGTATTGCTCTAGGAGGTGATTTATAATCATCAGGTCAGCCAGTGAGACACGTGTCCTTTCCTCTTCAAATGTTTACTGAAGGAGACAGCATCATTGAAGTAGAATTAAACAGTTTCTTCACAATGTGTTTACTATTTGCTTGGTGTTTTTGTCGGTTATTTCAGGGTTATTGTTTCTGCCAGATTCTTTCACCAATGGTGCAAACAAGCTGACTCTTGTTCACAGAACTGGGAAATATTATGGATTTGGAATACCGATAGTAACTTTGTCACAATTGCAGGTTCCTCACTAGACTTCAACAATTCTTCCACCAGTTTTTATTTAGATTTGGACATTGTCGAAACTCATTTTGGAAGTTCTTTAGAAATAACCCAGGTATGTTTTGTATGGCAATAGGGGTGGGGGTGCCCTCTGTGAATGGTAGAGGAATCAGTGGACAGTATAGTGTGGTTTTATCTGCATTCTTGGTCTGATTGCTTTTGTCCTCAATTCACTTGAATATTTCTATAAAATTGGTTAATTATTAAAGCTTGTGATTAAAGCTTATGGTGATTTGTTTGCACTCAGGATATTTTAGTCTCATGGTAGTTCTGAGTTAAATGCAGCTGTAAAGGATGACAACCAATTGATGTGTCTCTCACATGGTTTCTCTCTGTCTCCCCCATCCCTCTCTCTCTTTCTAAAAATCAATGGAAAATATATCCTCTGGTGAGAATTCAAAAATTTTTAATCTGAAAAAACCAACAAAAAACACTCATGTTTCAGGCTTCCCTGGGATTTCCCTGGGGTTCAAAGAGACGTCCCCAGAGCTCCCTGTCAGTCTTCCTGAAGGCTGTGGGTTTGGCTGAGGTGAGAAAGCAGCTTCCAGCATTCCCACTTCCAAGTCCCCTGCACAGGAAACAAACTGTTGACGAGAACTTTACTAGTACCTCAGAGAAAGTTCTAAATTTCCAAAGGTAATCTCACATCTGTCGCAGGTTTTGAAGATGGAACTAGGCAGACCATCAGGTGCCTCAGGTTAAAGAACTACAGCAAGTATAGCTCTTACTAATTAATACAGGGTAATTTTACAAATGTCTTTTGATTACATATACATTTCCCCCAATTGTTACCAATAATATTGTTTATAAATGAGTCATATTTTACAAATAAGAAAACAGAGGCAAAACCACATAGAATTCAGTCTTTTAACACTTGACCATGGATCAGTCTAATTTATTACTAATACTGAAATAAAAATTTAGCCATTATTAGTTCTATAATCCTAAAAACCTCTCATTTATTCTAAATTCTGCCCTAAAAAATTACATAAAAATGAGTTCCTAACACTATTAACATACTTAACTTGTAAGTAAAATAAAAGTACAGAAACATGAAGTATTAAGTATATATTTTTCTTTAAACATATATCCTACCTCAATAGTATATGTGGGTGAAGTTATTTTCTTCCAAGTAATTGATACTTTACCTTCGTTTAGTACATTTAAATAATAAATACGTAGTCAATTACTAAAGAAATTATTTTATGTGCAAATAATATGTAGACATTTTACCCATAAATTCAATTTTCCTGAAAACAATTAGCTTTTTAAAAGAAAAGCTCTTGTATTCCCCTGCTTCTAAATCATTGTTGAGTGAAAAAAATAAAGCCTGTTCTACCAGGAATCTCAAGTTAGAATTTTCTCAAAAGTGAAATTAGAGAGCAGAGTGCCATTTCAGAAAACAACTATTCAACACTCATCCCAACATCCACAACTGCCTTTCTGAACAGGTAAACCAGGTCAAAAGAATCCAACAGAATTAGGCTTCAACATGAGGCCCTTATGTTCTTCTAATATATTAATAAACCAAAACATGAAATATTGAAATCAAAATAAATGAGTACTTGAGGCTGATTATCATTCAGATTGTTCGTTCCTTGTCATATCCCTCCTTCTATAAAGTTAATAAAGGAAAGATTTTTACTGAAAAGAACATTTTATTTTATATATCACTAGCCATGAATGTTTGTCATCAGTTACTACATAAATGCTTCCTGGTGCCATTATCCAAGTGGCACCACCATTTTATGTCCACAATTCACTTTGTATTTATAAAATTTTCATAATTTACATCTATCACTATTAGTACATCTATCACTGAACATTTAGCATTGACGTGCAATCTAGCATCCATATTCTCGGATGTTTTGCAGATAGTAATGTAGAAGAGATGTATTTTTAATCACCTTTTCATCTGAGTCACCTTATGTAAAAAATAAATCAATAACTTAGAGCACCTAAGTCTCTAAAGGACATTTCCAATGTGCTCATAGAAATAGTTAAACAGGATTGTCCGAAACAACTTCCATGTCCACATCCTCTTGTAGTTTCTGTACCATTTTGTCTTCCAACTGCTTTCCTTTGCCTTAAAAAGAAAAATTAAAACTTTTATCAACTCAACATGACCTTACAGAACTCATCAACAGTTTATAAAGGATCTTGGATGTTTTAAAATAACGTTGGCAATTTCTAAGGTATTTAAGAATAGTAAATAAACTTATACAGATCTTATAAGATTGCGAGAGGGAGCAGGCCAAGCGTTAAGAAGGCATTCTACTTACATTTGCTCATTTCACCTTCATAATAACTTATATTTTATTTCATTTTAGTTACTGTTTTGGGGGGGAGGGTTAGAGAGAGAGAGAGAAGGAAGGAGGGAAAATTATAGAGAAACAGATTTGTAGTTTCACTTAGGTAAGCATTCATTGGTTGATTCTTGTATGTGCCCTGATTCTTGTATGTACATCAAGGTTGTGACCAGGGATCTAGCCCACAACCGTGACGTATCAGGACAACACTAAACAACTTAGCAAGCCGGCCAGGGCACATTTTAAAGACGAGAAAAGCTGAGGCACAGAGACAGGTGAACTTGCCTAAGGACACTCAGTTGTTAAGTCCAGTAAGTCAAAGTGATGGAATTATTAACCCTGGCCCTTATGGATCCATGGTCCCTGCTCTAAACACTGTATTACCAACCTCAGAGGGTTATTTAAAAACTTAGATAACAATATTTCATTCTTATTGTGTTTTAGGTGTCAGTTTCTAACATCTATATGTGAAACAAATGCGCCAGGATTCTTTTTCGTTTTAATAAAATTTGGTACAAACACAACCAAGGTACAACTTTAACGCAAATCTACTCAACATGTGCTTACAGAATTTGACCTTTCCTAATAAGCTTTAGGCATGGAATCATTCAGAAATCAAGTCTTCACCTAAATCTCACCAAAGTACTTGGTGCCAGCTGACTAAAGACTGGTTTTTCCACACCTCACAAAAGAAACTGCACACAGACAACTGCCCAAGTGAGTGACTATTAATCCTATTTAATAAAAGCCTAATATGCTAAGTGTTCCACTGTTCATTTCACTGTTCAGCCAGTTGCTGTGACACACACTAACCACCAGGGGGCAGACTCTACGACCAGTAGGTTAGCTTGCTGCTGCGGTTCTAGTTGATCAGGATTGGACAAGACAGGCCCGCACATGCCTAGAGCTCTCCAGTGTTCCCTGCCGGACCCTGATCATGCACCGGTGGGGTCCCAGATTGCGAGAGGGAGCAGGCCAGATCCAGGGACCCCACTGGTGCACAAATCTGTGCACCAGGCCTCTAGTAAGTTACATAAACACAAAGAGAAGGTTTTAATACAATACTGTAGTTCTCAAAACTTACATTATCAGAATTGCCTGGAGAACTACTTAAAGAACAGAGGCCCAGAATTAAAGGGCCAGAGCCTCTGTAATTATGCTAAGTTCCCCAAGTAATTCCCATACTGACTAGTCTGAGAACCACTAACATAGAATCCTTTCCTTTAATAAAAACTGGTATGAGGCAAAACTGTCTATGAAATTGTTACTCAACTCATTTTGATTAACTTGGAGAGATAACTTACAGAAAAGATTTTATGAAGGAGGAAAAAAAAACACATGTATAAAAAAATTGACTTAAACTGGAAAATATACTAAATAACTTATAACTATTTAACCAAATTATATCACAAATGTTCTGAGAGAACATTTACATGAAAAAAATACTCAACCTTAAAGAGCTAATTGATAACAAATTACATAGGCCACAAAAATCTAGATTTTTTTTCATCTCTCTACTTAAAGCAGAGAATTCCTACACAATGCTTTACTTACATGCAATAGGTGCCCGTATAAGATGGATGTTTTGCTTGACTTCTTTGATGTCCTGAACTTTCTGTAGTTCTTTATTTTTCTTCAACCTAGGGTAGCAACATTTAAAGCCAAGATTTCAGTTACTAAAACTTTAGACATTAACCTATAATTTTTTAAAAATAAAATTTACTAATTAAATAAGCCATATAGATGAGGAATGGGAACTCAATTATTTTCTAGTTACAAATTAGCTTAAATAAGATTCCTACACTACAAACTTGTTCATTCAGTATATACTTAGTACCTAATAGGAAATAAAATGAGGATTCAATATATATTTGTGGAGTTAATGAAGGAATGAGATTGAATGGAGAAATTAAATGTCAGAGATCAATGTCTACTGTATACATGCAGTGCAAACCTTCTAGAGCCTCCATCATCTCTCCTCAAATAGAGAACAGTCCCTGTTACCTGACTTTTTAAATCATTCAGTAATTACAAGAGCACAAACTCATAAGACATTCAACAAAAAACTAAGACTTGTTCCCAAACATTTTGGCATTCTCTGTAATGCTTTCACTATCTTTTAAAGTTAAAAAGCTGTTGGTGCATGCTTCTTTTCTATGACAACCTGCCATAGAGACAAGGATTAAATAAATGTAGCAAAATGTTAATAGAATATGCAAGAGTTATTTATACTATTCTTACCAACTTTTTTAAGTTTAAAGTTATGTGGGGGGGAAAACATGCCTCTAAATGACTACTAGCAATTATTTTTCCAAGAGTTACTCTATACATATATTCATACCTGTTCATTATAAATTTAGCTTGACGTTTCTGTTTGATCTCTTCAACTCTCTTCATTGCATCAACTACAAAAAAATTCATAAGAGTTAGCAAGTTATTCACATTCAAGCAAGAGCTTTAACAATAACTTATTTACTCTTTATTCTGATTTAGAAATTTATTAAATGAAAAACTCATCTTTTAAAAAACTCTACTAAAACAGCTGAGGTACCCTTTGCTGACATCACAGTTAACTATTTTTTATTACCAGAATCATTTCTCTAAGTTTTATTTTACAAAAGCTTTTACTACTAAATTGCCCTTCTATAGTAAAGCAGTCTAATGCTTTTCAAATTTTATTCTACAGAGAACTCAGATTAATAGCAACTAATACCATTCTCAGCTCGTCATCTCCATAAATGAAAGACAGCATCTTTCTGTCATAAAGACCAGTTTTCCTTCCAGTTCCTGGGAAATAATCAGCACATTATAAATACTGGTAAAATGAACCAGTCAACCTCTAAAATCCAACTGTTTTGGAAAATGTGTGCAGAAGCTGAGCCCAACTATGCTTAGTACCTATATCAGCACTGTCCAATGTAAGATATGTAATTTTAAATTTCTAGCAGACACATTAAAAAGAAACAGGTCAACATTAAATTTAATGATATATTTTGTTTCATCCACCATATCTAGAATATTGTCATTTCAACATGCAATCAGTATAAAAAATTATTAGAGACATTTTATGCTTGCCTTCATACTAAGTCTTCAATAGCCACATGTATTTGATATTACAGCACATTTCAATGCAGACTAACCACATTTCAAGTGCTTAGCAGACCCATTGGCCTCAAATACTCATTTCTTTTGATTTTAATATTTCATGTTTTGGTTTATTAGCATATTAGAAGAACATAAAGGCCTCATGTTGAAGCAGAATTAGTGCTATGTGCAAAAGGCAATTCTAAAACTGGACTCTGACTCCTCCACACAGTTCAGAAAGTAAAGCTTTTAGAGGGTGTCAGATGCCACCACAAATGCCCGCAACGTCCAATCCCTCTCCCGAATTCCTGTGACTGACTGGCTGAGGAAACGTGTTGAAAGAGGTGCCCTGTCTGTGATCCATTACAAACTAATAACGTTTAAAAAATGCTAAGCTTTAGGGACTACTAGTTAACAAACTACATCACCCTCAACACAAGACTAGAAGTGGCTAAAGACATCAAGGCAAGAAGAAAGGGCAGGGCCCGGGGCCATAAACACACAAACAGCGGAATCTACAAGCTATCTTAGGAACTCAATTTTACTGCATGTGTACTTTCTGTCATTTCTGCCTACTTAAAAAACAACGAACTACAAGAACAAGATATTGCTTTTAATTTCAGTAACCTACAGCTTCATTTTGACCTAAGACTTTCTGCACTTTTTAATTTTATCAAATCACTCAATTTTACATAATACACTATATCTCTAAATCAAATCACCTCAACTTGTAAAGTGTGCTAAGTTTTGTGTATATTTTAACAATACCACACTCATCCAACAAAATATTCTCTTAAAATTTTTTCCTTTAGATTTCTGGATGTTTTGTGCGTGAGCACTTTAAATATTATCAAATTTAATAATTACATTATTTTTATAATGGGCACATCAGCCACTTGGGAAAAGGATTTTGAGTAGCTTATGAAAACTCCTGGCATTCCCTTGTGACTTACTTGTTTTATTCCACAGCTCTCGCTGGTATTTGACAGGTTCATTTCTGCGTTTTTCAAATTCAAATGAATTATCCTGTAAAAGGGGGACAGGTTTGGTTTTTAGAGAGGTAGGAAGGAAACATTTCTTAAAATTTATTCTCCTTTTGACAAGCATTCAGAATGTATTAAACTAAGGACACACATTAAGATTCCCCCAAAGGTGATCCCAACAATACAAGTTTTTAAACCTTTTCTCCTTTACACACTATGATGTACAAGACAGCCCTACTGAAAACTTTTATCTATATCCGAGCCATTCCCAAAAGGAGGGAAGGGAAGAGCTCAAACTTGATTCCTCAGGAGGCATATAGCACTCACGGGATCAAACCAACTGAAAAAGCTTCCCTAACTTCCCATTCCCAGATGAGATCACAGTCAGTATTAGGCTGAACCATATGAAATTACCATTTTTCATAGATCAAAAGAGTCAAACATTGAGAATTTCATGTGGTTCAACCTAAATACCCATCACGCTTACACATTTGAAGACCTATACACCTTCGTGCTGAAGCATAAAGCTATGAAACTACACATCTTCAAGGCAATATAATGCTGCTCTACACGACATAAGCTTTGCCCTGAAATTCTTCAGGTCCCTTCTTAATGTAGTTGGTATTTGGACAGTTAATAATCCTATTTATCTTAAAACATGCAAAACAATTTTGGAAAAACTACAAATACTTACTGGTTTCCAAATCTACCTCACAGGAATATGGAACCGCACTTACTCTGTGTCTGGCTAGTTCGTTTATAATACACATGACTCTATTTAGATCACAACAATATCAACAATGACAAGGTCACCAGCAAGTGACTGGGACTGGTATTCTTTCTTCATTCATATAGTTGCCACCTACAATTGAAGTGCTTGTTTCTGCTTGCCCATACTGAAAATTACTTTTGTAATGGTAACTATAATTTGGTCTTGCATCTTATAAAAAAATATTCATTACATTCATTGAAAACCTCTGATTTTGTTAAGGAAGCCAACAGAGAGCTTCATGGAAATTCTTAGATACTGCCCTTAAGGAGTAAAGGGTGGGAAAAGAGCCGAGGGTTTGGGGGAAGAGCAATCATGGAGGGAGGGGACAGTTTAGATTTCCTCCCTTGAGGGGGGCCTGTGCAGCAGCGCTCAGCTCCTCCCTTTGAAGGGGGTGAATGTGGACAAGTTTTCCCAGATCCTTTGACCAATTCAGGAACAGCAGCAATATGAGGACAGACTCACACACGAAATTCCCTTCTCACAGTAATACTACGAACTAACTTCTCCGCCTTCAGACACAGAGTCCTGCGAAGGAAATCTATATACTGATAAGTGAGTCCATTACAAATCTCATCTGAGTCCTCACTGCTGTTCAAGAATCCTTTAATTAATTTTCTCACTTCCTCTCAAAATCCCTCAACAGCAATTTCCAGCTTTATCCTTTTCTTTGTAAGCGCTAAAAGTAGTTTTCTGAGACTAAGAAAGATCATTTCTACAAACTGGATTACAGTTTTTTTTTTTTCCTTTTCAAATTCTACAGATTTATGGATTATAGGCTCATGTAAAAATTACTACTATAACCAAATACAAAAAAGTCATTCATCAATCACGTTGCAGGAAGCTTTGTTATAGTTAATTAAATCACATAACCGCCCCAACTCCTCCAAAAAAGAACCTGAAATTTTTAGACTGTAAAAGCTATACTCACCACTGTGAGCTCTTTACCAGCTGCTTTACGGAAAGCTTTAGTCCACCTGACCTTGCGAGGATTGCGCTTCTTTTTAAAGTTTTTATGACACTTGGATTTACAAAACCTGAACACCTACAAGAAAAGTTAAAATAGTGAGAAGTCAGTATTAAAATTTTTTTTTTTATCATAGGGTATTACCCCTCCCAGACAAAACATACTGACAACGTTCCGCACTCACAATTGCTTCTACTTACCATACTATAATATTAAGAAATATATGGACATACCAGGTTAAATGGAAATTGAACTATTTTTTTACTATCAAGCACCATCATAAATAAAAGCCGAGGGCCCTGAAAATATGGTTACAAACTAACATTTTTATAAAAAAAAACAGTAAAAACCTTATAATGATCTTGAATCAGGAATAGTTTTAAGGAAAGTCATTTATTTAAATCACTTCCCATTTTACAATAATTCTCAAAATGCACTGCTGGGCTAAAAGTTTCAAGCCACTATCCCAAGATCTCCTTTGGTTCTTTCCATCCTTGCATAAAATAATTTCAAAAAGCAACTAAAACTGGCTATAGACTTGTTTTCTAAAATCTACTTGGAAGAATCTTCATTACTACCTTAATTCTCCATCTTAGTAATGCTTACAATTTAAGGATGCCTCAATGTGCTCCTAAAATGGATTACTGGGACTCATTGTGCAAGTCTAAACTGCGTTATTTTGTTACTTTGTAATGTCTTAAAACACATTACAATTTGTGTGCTACCAAGAGAAATATGAAAAGAAAAGGTTTTTTTTTTTTTTTAGTTAAATTACCACACCTGAGAAGATGTGACCCTTAAAAATAAATCAAAATGAGGTATAAACATTTCCAACTGAAATAAGGCAAAATACTTGCATGTGTCACAAGCCAAAATACTTTTCATTTTACGTATACTTTCTTCTCTGGGGAACTTCAAGCAGGTCCTTATACACACTCAAGCATAATTTTCTTCGAAATGGTCAATACTAGGTTAATCTAATCTAGGCTCATACCTCCTGGAGAGCCCTCTTCAGACAGACCTGAGTGAAAGTTTGTCTGCATTCTTAAATTAATTTCAAAGTAACAAGAAAATATGAAAACTATTGTAGTCTCCTGGAGTAACTCACTATGAAATCACTATCAGTAAAATTTCTTTGAGCATTTCCAGCCCAAAGTATTATAACCTTTTTAAGTAAAAGCCTCCTATGTTTAATACCTACTAGATAACTCCTAGACATATTCCCATTTCTGAGCTATATCAATGAGGGATTTGAACTTGTCCCGGGTCTTCTCATTTCCAGAAAGCCCAGGGGAAGTTATAGAGAAGTCTATTTGAACTCCAAACCTATAGACATTCTCTGACAAGCACATGAAACATCTGAAGAGAGGATGGGAATTCAATCAGCAAATAAGGTGCATCTACTATGTGCCTGATGTTATACGAGGTATAGGAATACAAGAATAACTAAAACATAAATCCCTACCTTGAGAACTTAGGCTAGCAAGCTAAGTATGATAAAGTCTCACTTTGAAATAAGAGAGACTGAGATCAAACTAGGATATAAAAAATGGGATAAAGTTATATATAATAATCATGTGTAAAGTAATATGGAAAAACACAATAAGGTGATTAAATCTCACCTACAGGGTAATCCTGTTTGGTGGATGGATTATGTGTGAGACAAAGCTCGGAAGGCTAAAGTGTCCCTTTTAATTCTGTCCTCTGGCATCATCCTATCTTCAACGTGCAAACAAATGATCCATCTAATCACACCTCCGTCCCCTGACCCTTTTTTACTCCACCAATTCAACATTTATTAAGCACTCAGTAGGGCGTATTTTCCCCGTTTATAAACTATGTGAAAATCTGGAGCATTATCACTAATTCTACCTTTAAGAGGCTACCTAAGAAGTATAAGAGGGGAAGTCTCTATGTAAGATTGGCCTCAAAAGCTAAGCGCATAAAGGCAGAAAGCCTAGTTCGGGGCCAGAAAAATGACAGGTGCCGAACCTGGAACCAGGGCAGGAAAAGAGAAAGCAAAGACACCACTCACTATCCTTTGCAAAGGCAGAATGAATAGCACTCTCAACAACTAGATACAAAAGGGGAAAGATCCTAAGGTGACTCTTCCATTTCTAGCAAAGCCATCTACAAATGAGAGATATTAATTCAGAGAGCAAAATGATCTGAGGTAGTAAGGAACGCTCCTTCAGCGGGCTCACTGTTGGGTTCAAACAGGATTACCCAGGCAGGTGGAAAATTCAGAACTGGAGCTAAGGAGATACAGATTTGGGATTCATCAACACAGATAAAATGAGAACAGGCATGCCTCATTTTATTGCACTTCACCCTATGGCACTTCACAGGTGTTGCGCTTTTTTACCAAAAGATTATGACTCACTTCATCTGAGTGGTGGTCTGGAACCGAATCTACAATATCTGCAAGGGGTGCCTGTGCTTTTCCTTCATTCGTGCTTCAGGGTCTCCACTACTTCTAACTTCTCCAATCCGTTTGTTCTGATCCCCTGGTCTTCCCTAACCTTCCCTACCTCACCGACCTCAACTTCCCAGGTGTCTGTCAGATCAACATCCAGCTCTAGATAGCGGCTCCCACATCTGTGGTTCTAATTCCAAAACACAGCTGACAAGCACTGCTGGACAAAACCATTAAATCATGACGACCAGGTCATCTACAGAGCCACACTGCCCACTGTGAATTTGAATCCAACCTGGCAATGATTCATTTTATACTGTGTGTGTGTGTGTGTGTGTGTGTGTGTGTGTGTGTGTGTGTGTATGTGTCTGTGTATTGCTCTTTCAAGTACCTAAACATAGATTTGGTCGCTCACTTTCAGGAAGAACCCTTGCTCCTGACTTAATGAGCTCAATATCTCCCGTCTATAATAGAGAGAGAACTCAGTGAAGCAGAAACTGTAAATTCCTTAACATGTCAACATCACCTCCAAATTCATGCACCGGTGTGGCCATATGTGTGTTAGCTTATGTTTACAGATTCATCTTTTTGCAAACACTCTTGCATTTGTATTTATAGCCCTACCCCCAAGTCTCTGTTACCACCCACGATGCTCCGTCCTGAGCCTTTGCTCAAACTGCTCCCTCTCCTTCCACCCGGAATGCCCTCTCCACACTTGCTCCTGCACAATTCAAGATCCAGGGCAAATGTCATCTCCTGCCCAGGGCCTTTGTCATCTATACGACCCCCCCAGACACACACACTCACCTCCAATAACTGCATAATACGTAAGTCTACTAAGCCTATCAGTGTTTCCCAAAGTGCGGTACTTGTACCCCCAGGGGCACGGGAAGAATTTGGTGGGGATATGCACTGCACCGTGCTTAGCTGCGCCTAACTCTATGTTCTCATGAGTACGAGGGGTACTCGGTGTTACGAAAATTATAGAAGGGGTACACATATGTCAAAAGTTTGGGAAACGCCGGACCGGTTTGGCTCAACGGATAGAGCGTCAGCTTGGGGACTGAAAGGTCCCGGGTTCGATTCCGGTCAAGGGCATGTACCTTGGTTGCGGGCACATCCCCAGTAGGGGGTGTGCAAGAGGCAGCTGATCGATGACTCTCTCTCATCGATGTTTCTAACTCTCTCTCTCTCTCCCTTCCTCTCTGTACAAAAATCAATAAAATATATTTTTTTTTAAAAAGTTTGGGAAACACTGGCTAAATGAATGAAACATTTCCATCCACCTCTACACACTATGGACAGCCCCAAGGCTTCTCCACCTCCAGGCTGCGGACATTAACAACGGCGCCGGAGTGGGCACCGTTGCACAAAGCTCCCCGCACTGTGGGGCGGCCGCCCTGCCCCGCTCCGCCGGAGCCTTGCACAGCCCACCTCGCCCCAGGGCGGCCCGGGGGCCAGCTCCGTCCGGGACGCCCGCAGGCGAAGCTGCCCAGGCGGGAGGTCGAGGCCGGAGCCGAGGCACAGCCTCCCTCTCACCGGGGGAAGCGGGGCCCCCGGCCGAGCTCACCTTGCAGTCGTTGCGGACGAACATCATGCCGTGGCCCGGGTAGATGGGCCCGGAGCAGAAGTAGCACTTCTCTATACGCATGCTGGACGCGCGTGGGGACCCACCACCCCGACGCCGGGCGCGAAAGGAAGTGACGTAGCGCCGGCACCGGAAGTGGTTCTTCTCCCGAGTTCCCGACCCGGAAGAGGCGAACGTCCGGGTCGCTGGGGCCTCGGGAGAGCGACCCGGCCCTGACGGCGCCCCCGCGTGGCCGCGCCGGCCACAGCGCCGCCGGCGGCGCAGGCGCGGAGCTGCCGCGTCAGCCTGGCTGCGGTCTATGGGAAAAGCGACTCGGGGCTTCGTGCTGTCCACCGAGCGCGCTTCCTCACAGCGCCTCTTCCTTCTCTGCCACACGCTGTCCCTGGTTTGCGCTTTGCTCCCTAGGTGTTTCCGCGCCGCAAACCCATTTCTCCATTCCCTTCCCCAGACCCGCCCCAGGTTCCCGCCCCGAACCCTCCTGCCTGCGCCCGCCCGGGGAGCCTCTGCTCCTGGGCGCCCTGCGACCACGCAGCTGAGTCTGAGGCTCGGCGGGTTTTACCAGCCCTTTTTGAAAGACGTATGGTGCTGTTCTCCATCTTTGCTTCGGCCCCCTTTTAAACGACATGCAAGTGTGGCAGGAAAAGCCCCAAACCCAAACATTAACGCGGGAAGCTCAGGTGGTTTCCCCAGAGCTCAGGACTCCCGCCCCCAGGGGCCATCAGATCCGTGTAGCACCTGCCAGAGATTCTCTGTGCATAGCCAAACATTATATATATATATATATACAGTGTGTGTGTGTGCTCTCTCACCTTTATTATAACACCGATAAGCATCCTAGGCACCCTTTTCTGTGTCGTTATCTGTCTCCTCGATACAGTTCCTGGCTCGTGAATAAGCATTGAATACACTTTTTTAAAAAGTCAATGAACATGTAACATTCTTTTTCATAATTATTTATGTGTAATTGTGTGAAGGTGTTTTAGTGGATTGCCTATGGATTAACATGTTTCTTAAATTTTTACATGATAGCCATCTACACTGCTATACCTTTAAAGAAGGGGGATTAATCTATATAGAACTGCTGGGTCGGAGGATGTGTACAATTTTAAAATTTGGTGTATAATCCTGAATGCCTTCCAAAGGTTTGAACAACCAGTAAGATGCCTCTTTCACCATCTTTTTATCCAAGGTGATTTTGCCAGTCTAAGGTCAAATTTTTTAATTATTTTTTAAAATATATTTTTTCAACTCTATTTTATTGATTGATTGATTGATTGATTGATTATGGTATTACATAATTGTCCTCATCCCCCCATGCCCATTCCAAACCCCTCCCCTCGTATTCCCCCACCACCCTGTTGTCCCTGACCACTTATGCATATATATATGCATAAATCCTTTGGTTGATCTCTCTCCCTTTCCCCCACCCTCCCCTACCTTCCCTCTGAGGTTTGACAGTCTGATTGATGCTTCCCTGTCTCTGGTTCTGTTTTTGTTCATCAGTTTATGTTGTTCATTATTTCCCCTAGATGCAAAATATATTTTTATTGATTTCAGAGAGGAAGGAAGAGGGAGAAAGAGACAGAAACGTCAATGATGAGAGAGAATCATTGGCTGCCTCCTGCACGCCCTCTAACCGCAGATGGAGCCCCTCAGGTGGATACTCTATCCACTGAGCGAAACCAGCCAGGCCCGCATTTTTCTATTATTATTTGAACTTGCATTTAATTATGAAGTTAGAATCTTCCCAAATGTTTGGAATTCACTTTTTTCTGAATTGCCTATTCATACCCTTCAATTTTCTTCTGCATTACTTTTTTAAAAATATATTTTTTATTGATTTTTTACAGAGAGGAAGGGGAGAGAGATAGCTAGAAACATCGATGAGAGAGAAACATTGACCAGCTGCCTCCTGCACACCCCCCACCGGGGATGTGCCCGCAACCAAGATACATGCCCTTGACCGGAATCAAACCCGGGACCTTTCAGTCCGCAGACCGACGCTCTATTGCTGAGCCAAATGGGTTTTGGCATACTTTTTAATAGTACTTTTCATATTAAGATTAGCCCTCTACTGGCATTTAGAAATCATTTCCTAATTTATCAAGCCCTCTTCAAGATTGTTTTTCATAACTTTTCTCCATTATTTAAATAGCATAATTTTCACATTTGAATTTGCAACTACTCTGGAATTTGCTTACGTGTAAATAATGACATAGGATTCCAGTTTGGCTCCCCCAACTAATTCAAAATACCACTTCTCTTTGGGTCTACCTTTGGACTTTCTGCTTTGTTTGATATATTTATCTATTTATGTGCCTGTAACAAAGTGTTTATTGTAATTTTAAAAATATGTATTGATTTCAGAGAGAAAGGGAGAGAGAAAAATAAAAACATCAATGATGAGAATTGGTCAGCTACCTCCTGCACAACCCACACTGGGGATCGAGCCCACAACCTGAGCATGTTCCCTGAACGGGAATTGAAATGACATTTTATTGAAACAACTATTTTTTAGAAGGTGGGCAGTAAAGTCCTTTTGGTTAAGGTGACATCAGAACATCTTTAAAGGATGGGAGAGAGCGCCATGCAGATATAAGGAAGACTAGCTACCCAGACAGAGAGAATTGCTAACATTCCTGAGGCAGTGTACCTGCAAAGGAGTGGGTGAAATAAGGTCAGAGAGTCCAGCTCCCCACATATTCCCTCCTCATCCAATCAATTATTATAACCTTCCCAATGCCTCTTGAATCCATCTCTCAGTCTTTGTTTAGGCCCTTACCCTCCTTGTTTAGTTCATCTAAGTCTGGCTACACTTCCCATATGATACATGCTCTACAAATGTTTGATGTAACGTATTTGGCTTACTTTCTCCAGAACATGTTGTCTTGGTTGGCCCCTCATCAAGGACTTAATGGAAATTGTACCCTTGGATTTGGTTTCCTTTAGTATTGACCTCTGGTTTGAAACAATGTGATGGGAAATGAAGTTGCATTCACATATAAACTTGAGAGACCAGACCACTATCATGTAATAAAGAGGTAATATACAAATCGAACATCACACTCTCACACAAGATGGCCACCACAAGGTGGCTGACAGGGGAGGACAGTTGGGAGCAACCAGACCTGCAGGGGAGGGAAGTTGGGGCAACCAGGCCTGCAGGGGAGCAGTTAGGCATTGATCATGCTGGCAGGGGAGTGGTTAGGGGGTCATCAGGCTGGCAGGCAGAAGCAGTTAGGGGCAATCCAGCAGACAGGAAGGCAGGCAGGCAAGCAATTGGGAGCCAGCAGTCTTGGATTGTGAGAGGATGTCCCAGATTGGAGAGGATGCAGGATGGTCTAAGGGACACCTCCTGCTAGTGCACAAATTTCATGCACCAGGCCTCTAGTCTATAATAATAAAAGTGTAAAATGCTATTTAGACCAGAGAGTCGAATGACCTTCTGGATGTCATTCCGGACATCCTTACTGATGAAGCCTTGGGATCCCTGTGGGATCGGATCTAAACTGGCAGTTGGACATCCCCCAAGAAGTCCAGGATTGTGAGAGGGTAACAGCCGGGCTGAGGGACTACCCCCACCCCCATGCATGAATTTCATGCACTGGCCTCTAGATTTATTATAAGCTCAATTGGCACAATGCTCACTGAAGATACAATTCACTTTTACACAGTCTTATAAATAGAAAAAAAACACATTGACTCACAAAAATATGGCACTTCAATAACAAATTTAAACAAAGGATTTCCAAGGAGAATACAGATTATTTATTTCAATAATTAAAGACAGTTCATGTATGTGCGCTGTATCAGGTATACACATTTTAATTATATATTATGTTTAAGGCCAATAGGATCTGTGGCTAATTGCTCATTTGGTTCTAAAAAAAAAAGACAGAAGCATACAAAATTGTCTTCTTTTTAACTACAGACCATATAAAATGTTCCCTGATATGTAAATGTAAAAATATGATTTATTCCACACACAGCTTACGGCAACTTGAGAAGGTACCACTGTGACCATGACTCTGCCCTTGAAGAGTCTGAATCTTTCCTTGCCAGAATTTACAATTCAAATGCATAGGACACAATGGTTTCTTTAGGATTTAAAAGAAGTTCTCATTTTAAGGACAGAAATACATAACATCTTAGTACAGCTAAGTTTTTTAAGGAAGTTGTGGCAAAAATAAACAAAAATAAAACAAAAAATCATTTGAAAATAATCATGTAAAAGCAATTACTTTCCAAAAAAGTTGTATTTTTCTAATTACACTTTGCCAAACATTTGCTACTACAACACACATTTATATTTATTTTATGTAAATCCATTTATTTAAATTATAATATATTGTTCTCTAAATAGTTATTAAGCACTTTGGAAATTTTAATCTATTTAAATCACTTTAATAAATAAGAATTGTCCCCTTTGACCTTTATAAACTGCCACAAAGCACATTTTAAGACCATCTTTAATTAGGTATAAAGACACTTGGGCAATGCAGAAGAATATGTGACCTTGGCAAGACCCAGCAAATACAGATGCCCCTAGTCTCAGTGGAACACTTCATTTTTTCTTATATTGAGCTAGAGTACAAATGTAACCGCTTAAATATAAACATCTATCATCCAGTAAATAGCAAAAGGACATTTTACATCATTAAAAACGAATTCCTTCAATTCCGCCAATGTAAAAACAAAACAGGTTGCAAAGATCGTCAATCCAGAGCCTGATGGTGAAAACAGAAGGTTGGTAGTTCACATGCCAATTCAAAGTGAGGTCTGAGGACACCAGACCAACATTATAAATATGAAGGAAAAGAAGCAAAATGTGTACTTATTACAAACAACTTCGCATAAGCACCAGCTATGTTCAGACGTGGCCAGTACGTAGGCCAAGTACAAATGCTAAGATCCCAGTGAACTAAAGCCATGGCAATCTAGTCCTCTGTCCCTTCTACCAAACCTTCAGAGCAATGGAATACATCAGCCGCACTGGACATTAAGCCCCACCTCGGCCGCTCCTGCTATATGAAGCCACCCCTACCCTCAGCCCCAACCCCGTTCCCACAAACAAGAATCACAGTCAGTAGGTAACTGATTGATCCAGTTTATCCAGGGCCTACAGAGAGGGCCGTAGTTTGTCCCATATTCATTTTAAAGAGAATGCTTACATGAATTAATATCTGAGGACCCTGAACCCCATGTTTGTGCATATTCTTGTTTAATATTCAAGGCGTTTAGATGGCGTTTTAGAAGGTTACCTACAGTACAAGTAGGATAGTTTCATTTGGGTTCAAGGCTGGTGGTTCTATAATTGCCTCTAAGATCTCGAATGTGAGACACTGGGCCGATCTATGTTAAGGCAGGTGACAATATCCTCAGTCATTCTTCATAATAAGCACACTCTTCGGTGGCTACAGAATCCAAAATCCTTGAATGATCTACTGCCATAGGCTAAGTAAGGTTGTATAAGGCACTTTTGGCTATGTGCAATACCCCTCCTAACTCTCAGGCTGAATCTTAAAGAAATGTTTAAAAGGCGATGGCAAATTGATTTAAAAACTGGATGCTTTATTGATTGGTCTCATCGGGACAGGGAGCAGGAGCCGGTACACTGTTCCCCTCTCTCTGTGCCGGTGTCCCCCAGAGAGGAGGCTGCGGACACGGGCCCCTCAGGTCACTGTGGAGCGCCCTGGACTCCTCAACAGCCACACGCCCCCTTGGGCTTTCCTTCACTCAGCTGGTCTGCAGAGGGGTGCCCATTGGGCCGCACCACCCCTTCAGGGATCCAGGACTTGTCCACACACCGCTCCATCCGCTTCATGATCAGGTCCAGGAGCGTCTCGATGGCCTCGCTTATGTTGGTCCCGTTGGCAGCGCTCGTTTCAAAGTAGGGGATTCTGGAAGACAGAGGGACAGCTCAGAGAATGGCTTGTAGAAGGAAAGGACCGTGGGCTCTGCCTTGATAATCAACTTAGTTCAAATGTGCAAGGCAGCAAAAGCATTTTACTGCGCCGGCCGGTTTGGCTCAATGGAAAGACCATGGGCTTGCAGACTGAAGGGTGCTGGCTTCAATTCCCGACAAGGGCGCAGATCTAGGGTTGCAGGTTCAATCCCTGGCCCTGGTTGGGGCGCAAGCGTGAGGTAACCAATCAATGTGTCTCTCTCACATGGATGTTTCTCTCTGTGTGTCTCTCCCCCATCCTCCCTCCCTTCCACTCTAAAAATCAATGGGAAAATAGCCTCGGGTGAGAATTAACAAAACAAAACAAAAGCATTTTACTACTATAGGATACATTAAAAAAGACTGTCCTGGATAGGGTGGCTCATTGCTTGGACATTGTTCAAACACCAAAAGGTTGCCCGTCCAATTTCTGATCAGGGCACAGGCTGGGTTGCAGGCTCAACCCCTGACCCCTCACAGGAGGCATGCAGGAGGCAGCCATGGATATTCTCTCTCTCTCTCTCCCCCTTCCTAAAAATCAATAAAAGTGTATTTAAGTTAAAAAATATCCAATAATTAACACTACATTCCTACTAGAGATGTAAAACTTCTGAAAGTGTTTATTCCCATTTTACAAATATTAAACTGTGGCCCAGAGAGACAAAGTAGCCCCATTTCACAATGCTGGAAAGGAACAGAGCTGGTTGTGGAATCTACAGCTGTTTGATTCCAAAAATCAACTTAGTCATAGGCTCTACTAGTTCCAAACTTACATACATTATCTGGGTAAATCTCTTCTACTTGCTGCACAGTGGGGAGTGGAGGAAGGGGAGGGGGGCGCGAGGCAGGGAATGCATTAGAGAGAAATGAGAGGTCACTGGCTGTGTCTTTACTGATTGTCAACTCCAGGTGGCATTCCTGCACCAGCCACTTGCAGACACTCTGAATTCTGCATCCGAGTTCCTCAAGGGTATCTATCTTAAGTGTGCTTATTTTGTTATTCAAAGGCCTGTGGTATATGTATAATTTTTAAAGTAACTCACAAAGCATTATTTCAAAACTGTAAGGCTTCTTTTCACATAATCTCTTGGTGGCCACCCTTTATACATTGGAATTCATCTTTACCACAGAATTAATCAACTGTCAAATTCTTCCTGCTTCTTAATAAAGCCAGGAAAATAATAATCTAATTGTATTTCCTCAAACTGTTGATTTCATTTCTACCATTTAGTAAGGAATCTGAAGAAAAAAAAAAACTCCAAAAGAAAACGGTTTTAACACCTCAGAGAGTCCTGCAATGGAATTCAGTAAAATATTTCTTATATTTATAGGGACTTTAAAATGGCCCACTATTACTTTTCTTAAAGAATATCTTTGGTTTCCTGTGTTCTCCTTGCATCTTAAGGCTACATTAATGACTCTGATTGCAATTTCAGTTACTCTTGTATTATTTCCTGGCTAGAAGCAGCTTCCACATGAGAACTTTTACAGTTTCCTTTTAAAGCCTTCTTTGTGCTTTTACAGATGTTTGCAGAACATCTGTTCTTATGTCCCTACAAGTCGGTGAGGGTGTTCGTGTGGAGGGATAGAAGGCTATTTCTCCACTGTGATTCCCCACGGTGCTATCTTACTGCACACTTCCTATAGGAGCTATAACTTGGCCTCGGCAATTCTCTCCTGTTCTAGCATAGCTTCTAAAAACCGAGTAAGAAACTATGATTTCATTTGAGTATTTCTCTACCCATCTCTAAATTTTGCATGACATGGTTGCCACAATGATTCTCCCATGCCCACATTGATAGCCCTTCATATACTGACTCTAAAATATCTTGATCAGAGAAGGGTCTACCAGGAAAATTACATGGCCTTAGTGGTTTTTTTAAACCACTGCTTATCTATTATATTGTCAGTCTTTTTTCCTCCCTCTTTATCTGTCCCTTTATCCACAAAATGAAGATAATACCTATTTTCTATTTTCTAACCCCGGGTCTCATGCAGTATTTGATTACCAAGTGTTAACAGAGCACCCTTTATGTGGACTCAATAAATAATGATTCATCAAGTACCTGTGATGTTATTGAACTAATTCGAGGGAGAGTTCGTGATGTTGCCATTGTTACAGAAATTGAATTTGGGATTGAGAGGACTCAAAACTTAAATACTTACATTTTCTGCTTCTCATTTATACCCAGGAAGAATCATTTAATGTCTACAGACCATCTCTTACACTCAAGAGGAAGACCTGCTCGCTCTATTGCCATTTAAAAATATACTGTTTCATGGAAAGGCGACTGAAAAATGATTCCCTCCCTCCGAGAATAATAGACTGAAATCGAAAATACACACGCACACAAAAAGTAGTTGAATAGTAAACTTCTTGTAAATACTAGTCACGATAATGTACATCTAACTTTTAAAATTCACACAAATCTATAATAATAAAAGCATAATATGCTAATTAGACTGGGCAGCTGAACACCTTCCGGATGACCTTCCAGATAAAGCCAGGGCTGTGAGGGCCTCAAGTTTGATTATAAATATCTTTCCAACTCTAGCCTCCTCACATTCACAAAATGTCTCAATGGAATCTCCTTAAACTCTTTCTACTTTCATAGTTTCTTCTCTTTTAGCTCCTGAGAATTACCTCACAGTCACTTAAAAGGCATATATGAAAAAAAACATAGTTGAGAGTACTTTTAAAAACTATAAAACCTAGGTGTAGAAATTACAGACAATTTGGACAACTGTCAGGAGCCATCATCTCTAGAGTTAGGCTTCCTGGAAACAAATAGTTATCAACTGTGTAACACTGGCAAGCTATTCTCTGTGCCTCCGCTGCTTCATTTGTAAAACTAGATAATATCAGGATCTTCTTATAAGGATTAAGTGAGTTCATTTTAAAGCACTTACTATAATAATAGTAGTAGTAATAATTAGCTACCCTTTTTTCTCTAAAATATAAGGGTATCTGATATCAAGAATTAGCCAATCAGCTGGAATCTTATCACACAATGTGACCAAGATGCAACTTTTTTATATGACCTGTATATTTATGGTTCGAGACAGGGCATTCATCTTGCTGTGTTGGGCTATTGTCGTTTTTTTAAATGTGACAATCTAACAGAAAAGAGGTTAGTGCCCTTGACTAAATTTGGTATCTGGGATCAGGCCTTCCTGCATCAGGATGGCTCACTCAGACTTACCTGTCCCAGCCAAAGTGCTCCAAAGCATTTGCCTGCCTTCACTCCTCAAACACCTCATTTCCCCAAGTGGCCATCACTGAATGCTGACAGAAAATGGACCTTGCTTTAGTGATGAATATAAATGACAGACGCCTCCAGCAGCACTGTGAGCTACTGCCTAATGTTTACTAACTTAAGCAAATATTTGATTGGCAGTATTTCAGGGTATATGAGTTAAGATGTATATTTCAAGTCTCTCATATTAAAAGATGTACAATATTAACAAGATGTAGTTTAGATTTATAACCCCAAATTCAAGTAACCAAAACTTATACCTTCAATTAAAAGTACACTTCCCTGCCCTTGTGAACCTCCAGGTCATGTGACCAGGAGTCAGGTTAACAACCTGAAAAGCTTTCGACTGATCATTGGAGTCTTCTGAGCAATTAGGGCAACTCGGGTTTTGTTTCTATGGGAATAAAATACTAAAGCTCACTCCTCTCCACTCTCAGCTCTTTGAACTGCCAGACAAGAAGCAAACCAGATGAGATCCACAGAGAGGATCATGAAGTAAGGCTTTCCTTCCATAATAAGATGATGTCTTGGAGACAGAAATGTGCCTTGTGCTCACATTTGAAAGCTGGACTTCTCAGCTTGTCTTAAGGGCAAAGAAAGTTTAGTGCATGGAGTTAATATTTGTATGTGCATATCTTCTTGGTGTTGACTTTTAGAAAGCATGTGAGGTGCTTAATCTGAACACTTCCCTGTATCTGTACAGAGGAGTAACCGTGGCTGATGGGTCATGGTAAGGAGGCAATGAGATAATACATGGAAAGGGCTTAGCACAAGCTAGCATCCAGAAAACGCTCAATAAAGTTCATCTAATGAGGTTTTCTCTAAAAATTATGTTCTGTTTTTCCTAAAATATGGTAGGCAAAAGTTTAGTAATCTTAAATTCGAGGATCAGTAGGTTTTTTTGTGTGTGTGTTTTTGTTTTTGTTTTTAAACCATAGAAAGGATAGTATTGTTCCTTCTCTCCACATGGTGGCGCTAATATAGCATTACCAGGGAGCAGTATCTCCAAACCTTTGGGGGGAAAAAATCTGTGCTGCTAATGGTGATATCAATCAGTAAATGAGCATTTAATGGCCATTTGGAACATGCAGAACCGCAATCCAGTGTGCTTTTAAAAAAATACATGAATCACAAATTTAAAAATGAAATGAAATAATGAAATGAATGGCAAACAGCTTCAAATCAATGAGGAGCATTATCACTTGCCGGTTTTCACTAAGATATCTATATCCCTAGCTCATGCCATAGATTAAGACCCACATCTAATGAGTTGTTTTTCTATTATTTATTTTAAAAAAAAAAAACTAGAAGATTCAAGTTCCCAGTCAGAATTTTTCAGAAATAAAAGCAAGTGCATTTGATAATTCTCCCAAATGGTTCTAGATATTTGGCCCACAGGTGGATCAGAAATTATGGTGAAATTTTTCACTAAAGTAGGAAATAAAATCTCATATTTTTCATAATCTTTTGGATGCTACAAGAATAAGCTAGTATAGTCAAGAAACAATTTTCAACCTTTCTCATCTCATGGCACATGTAAACTAATTACTAAAATTCTGTGGCACATGAAAAAATGTATTTTTTGCCAAACTGACAAAAATAGGTATAATTTTTTACTAATTTACAAAAAAAAAAAAAAAGATAGTAATTGCCTACCCTTTTTACTCCAAAGGGATTTTTTAATTAATTTTATTTGTTT